TGGTTACAAATTGGGCTGCTAATCTCAGGGTCAGCAGTTCGAAAATACCAGCTGTTCCATGGGAGAAAGATGAGGCTTTCTGCTCCCGTAAAGATTTACAGCCTCTGAAACCCTGTACAGGGTTGCTGTGAGTCGGCACACAACAACACACAACATGAGTATTGGGATGTTTAATCCAGTCTTTGGATACCAAGTTTCTTGATATCTGCCATTTGATTTGCCAACTGTGGAAGACAGTAGAAGATCTCCAGCAATTTTAGCCACATGACCACACTTATCTCTTAAGAATTAGTAAATTATCCCCTGAAATCTTTTAAAAACCATAAAATAGTTTAGCTTAACCAGTAAAAACGATCTGCCTTGAGCATTATGTTCTTTTAAGAACTATCCATAGGGCATCAAATTGACAACAGCAATTCAAAAGATTCAATAGGAATGCTGGGGGAGCAGAGAGTTTATGTTGAAGGTGGAGAAAATGGGCAGTGTTTCAGTCTGTTACACACAGTGTCACCATGAGTCAGAGCTGACTCCAATGTAGCTAACTACAGAAGTAAAGAAGAATGAGAATAGTTGTACAACTCATAGAATGCAATCAGTATCACTGAATTGCACATCTAGAAACTGTTGAACTGGCTCATGTTTTGCTGTGTATAGTCTCAACAACAATCTAAAAAAAGAACAAATGTGAAGAACTATATGTAAAAAGCAACATTGTTTGCATGTAATCCATACCCTAATGTGGGATACAATCAGAAAGCATCTTTACTTATGTCTCCCATTATTCCTATTCACCGGGGAATTTTACACAGTTTAAGATAAAAATCAGGTAGTGTCAAGACTCCTTTGGGTACTCTCAAGCAACACAAAGTCTGCTAATGTTGTTACTAGGTCCTACTGAGTAGGTTCCGACTAATAGCGACCTAAGTACAATAAAACAAAGCACTCCTCAGCCCTGCCTCATCCTTGAACCGTTTGCTACTGTGTCAGTGCATCCCATTGACGTCTTCCTCTTTTTTTTTTTTTGTTGACCCTCCACTTTACCAAGCATGATATCCTTCTCTGGGGACTGTTCTCTCCAGAGATGAAGTTTCGCCATCCTGGCTTCCAAGGAGCATCTGACTATATGTCTTCCAGCACAGATTTGTTTGTTCTTCTGGCAGTCCATGGTACTTTTAGTATTCTCCACCAACACTGTAATTCAAACACACCAATTCTTTAGTCTTCCTTATTCATTGTTGTTCAACTTTCACATGCATAGGAGGTGATTGAAAAGATTACATGCATCTTACAGTTCTAAGAGATACCTCTGCTTTTGAACACTTTAAAGAGGTCTTATGCAGCAGATTTGCCTAATGCAATATGGTATTTGATTTCTTGACTGTGGCTTACATGAGCATTGATTGTGAGTCCAAACAAAATGAAATCTTTACCAACTTTAATCTTTTCAAGTTTTTCATGATACTATTCATTGGTCCAGTTGTGAGGATTTAATCTTGTTTATATTGAGGTGCAATCCATACTGGAGGCTGCAGTTGTTTGTTTGTTTGTTTTTTAAATCTTCATTAGTAAGCATTTCAAGTCCTCTGGGACTACAGGATAAGCACAGAATTAAGGTTGGCAGTTTAAACCCACCAGCTGCTTCACAGGGAAAGATGAAACTTTCTGCTCCTGGAAAGATTTACAGCCTCAGAAATCCTAGTTGGAATCCACTCTATGGCAGTGGATGCGGTTTGAGTCCCTTCTAGCAAGCAAGGTTGTGTCATCTGCATATCACAGGTTGCTAATGAGTCTTCCTCCAATGCTTTTGCCACATTCTTTTTCATATAATCTAATTAATTGGATTATTTGCTCAGCATACTTGTATGGTGAAAGGATACAACCCTGGCACACACCTTTCTTGATTCTGAACCGCTCTTTATTCTTTATTCCCTTGTTCTGTTGAAATGACTTCCCCTTGGTTTATGTATAGGTTGGGCATGAGCACAATTAAGTGTTCTGGAATTCTCATTATTCCAAACATTATCCATAGTTACCACCTCTCTTTGGAATGGTTTGTATACAAATCTCTTCCAGTTGATTGGCCAGGCAGGTGTCTTCCAAATTTCTTGTCAAAGATAACTGAGTGCATCCAGCCATGCATGTTTGTTGAAGACATTTCTGTCAATTCCTGGGGTCTTGTGTTTTGTGGATGCTTTTAGTGACACTTAGGGCTTCTTCCTTCAATACCATTGGCTTTTGATCACGTGCTGCCTCCTGAAGTGTTTGAACCTTAAACAATTCTTCTAAAAAAAAATTGGCCAATGGAAACTTATGAATACCAGGGTGAGGGTACCTGAAGTCACAAAATTCTATCTATCTGAGCCTGGAGGACAATATGCTGAACTGACTCAATCACAAAAGGACAAATATTGTTATGAGACCATTGTTGAAAAAGTTAAAAGATTTTCTCACTAAATGAACAGCTATGATGTCTATGATGGGGTTGGGGGAGTAGGGTTGGGAAGGGGAGGGAATTGTTCATGAGCTAGAGGATAGACACATGGGTAATGGGGCAGGCACTATATAAGAAGGAGTGTGACAGGCAAGATGAAGGTAGCAGGAGACACAGGTGCAAGAGTTAAAGGAAATATAGGTAAATACTGTTAACTGATGGTGTATGGAGGGGACTGCAATCATTGTATGGTGCCAAGTAAATGATTTGTTGAATGTGAAACCAATGATCTGCTCTGTAAATCTTCACTCAATTCACAATAAAAACTTAAAAAAAAAAATTCTATCATAAGGCTCAATAAATGTTTATGATCTCAAATGAAATGTGTTCCAGAAATTTGTAAACTATAGAAACTGTTCTTTGATTATAAGATTTTTTTCCCCCTACTTGCTTCTTTGGTGGCATTTTAAGATGCTTCCAAATTTGTGGTGGATCCAGATAGATGCTGCTGCTGCAATGAGGTAATGTGAGGGTGAGTCAAAAAATTTCCACACACTGCTGTAGAACTTATTCAATCAACTTTAATTTCCGTGTTTTGCAATCCACTTCATCCATCTGTAAACAAGCTTTCGTATTCCCTTATAAAAAATGTTTTAGGCTGAGCTTTGAGCCACAAATGCATCACTGTCTTCACTTGTTCATCAGAGGTGAATCTTCATCCACGAAGGGCTGCTTTCAGGGGACCAAACAAGTGAAAGTCCAATGGAGCAAGATGAGAACTATCGTGAAGAAGCTTTCACACCTCAAAATGAAGTTTTTGCAGTGTCAACAGTGTGGAAGAGGTGTGAGGACATGCACTGTCATGCAAGATCACAACACCCTTGGATAGCAGTCCTCTGTGTTTAATCTAAAGTTTAGGCTTCAGCTCTTCAGTGGGCATCTCACTGTAATGAGCACTGTTGATTGCTGAACCTTTTTCCTGATAGTGTTCTAATACTGGTCTTTGAGAATCCAAGAAAACCGTAAGCATCAATTTTCCAGCTGATGGTTGACTTTTGAGCTTTTTCTTGGTTAGTGTTGAGGTTGTTTCCATTTCATACTCTGTCGTTTACACTCTCAGGCTCTTAGTGATGAATCCATGTGTTGTCACCAGTAATGACTTTTTAAAAACTTTTATCTTCCTTCAAATATTGGTCCAAATTTTGTTTGCAGATATCCACGTTCACATGTGCAGAGCAGTGACCTTGAACAGAAAATACTGATAAGACCGTGCAGTCAACAGAAATTTTAATATAACTGGAGTGTGGATAAATTTTGACTCACCCTTGTAATGAGGCCCTTGTACTGAGGTCTAGAAATTAGCCTCTGGGGGCAAGACCTGAACCTGTAGCTGACTGGCTGTGTGACCTTAGACTAAGTCTCTGGAACCTTCTGAATTTCAGATTTCTTCCCTTCGGATGTGAGGCTGGACTAGGTAAAGTCTAAGGCCTGTCAGCTCTGTCTATCATTTCTAAGACTAAATCACACTGAAAAAATGAAAATGTAGCCAAATGACTCACAATATCCAAATTCATTAAAATAGTTCATCAAATAATTTCATTATAGATAAAATTGCAATGATGTGATTTTAAGAAGAACAGCCAGCTTTCCTTTTAAATGGATCCATTCATATATTGGTTGAATCTGACCAAATATAAATAAGGTTATCCACTTACATTGTTAACAGTTTACATAAAATGGTCAAAGGGAAATTTGTCTTTAGATGACAAATCTGTCCAGTTATGGTCTGAAGTGAAATTTCCTCAGATATTAAAACTTTTCAACTTATTGTAAGACAGTAGCTTTTTCAAGACAGCTTTTACTGTCTTACAATAAGTTTAATGAACTCTATTGATGATAATTGAATAACTATCAAAGGCAGTCCTGAGATGTGAATCAATTCACTGACCACGTGTAAAGCATGTTGAGGTTCTTTTGATATTTTTGGAGTTGTAAGTCTTTCTTCTGTTTTTCTCCAATGAAGCTTCATTGGCTAGGATAGTTATTCTCTTCTACCTAACAAAAATGAACTCTAATTTTAAACAGGTATTATTATATCCCAGTGAAATAGACTTCATGCAGATGTATTTGTTAAAACATCCTTTTATTAATGGTGCACAGTGTATTAACAACTCACATTTCACTTTATCTACTCAGTGGAAGAGCATTTATTTTTCATTAAAAAGTTAAGCCCTCCAGGGCAGCAGCAGGGACAGAGTCGTCTACCTGTAAGTGACACTGTCCATTGAATGTCAGGTGCTTCCACATTAACCCAAAAAGGGAAGATAAATCGACACCCCCTCCCCACTGCTGTCCTGCTCTTGTTGATGCACTCTTCTTATTTTACAAGATGCCAACCCCACAGGTAAACTGTTCCCAGACTGGTACCTCTATCAATCACATGAGGAATGTCAACAGTTGTCTGGCACCAGCTGAGTTCAGAACACCCCTCAAGGCTGTGTGAGTAACAAGGAGTGTGATGTGGTCATGGTTATTTCCTCAGGAACGTGTCTTCTGCACTGAGAGGGCGTTAGTCTCTAGCACCTTGCTGCTCAAGTTTCAGGAGCTGTTGTTCAAGTTTTGAGATGTTTACTCGATGCATCATCAGAAACTGACCATTCAGATGGAAGACAGGGATGTCAAATTTATACCTTTCATACCAAGCAGAGTTCTCTGGAAGTGTAATGTCCACCTCCTGTAAAATAAACTGAAACACAGACACACTAAAGCTCTGTATTTTAGAGCACACGTAACAGTGCATCAATTCCATGATATAGTGACCCCTAGACTTGGTGCTGTGGGTTAATGTGCCAGACTGCAACGGCATTTGAACTGCAAGGTTGGTGGTTCAAGCTCACCAGCTGCTCCTCGGAAACCCTATACAGGGTCGCTATGGGTCGGAACCGACTCGATGGCACTTAACAACAACAGACTTTTTGTAATGCTGAAAGCTTTTATTATTTGGTTGTTGTTAAGGCCGTTGAGCTGGTTTTGGCCTATAGCAACCGTAAATAGGGTTTCCAAGGAGTGGCTGTGAGTTTGAAGCATCAACCTTGTGATTCAAACCGACTTTGCAGTCCAGCACGTTAACCCACAGCACCACACCAGGACTCTTTTATTATTTTAGGTCAATAGGAATCTTGGTGTGGTGCTGCTGGACTGCTAACTGCAAGATTGGCAGTTCAAACCCACCAGCTGCTCCTCAGAAACCCTACACATGGTTGCTGTGAGTTGGAACCTACTTGATGGTGTTTAACAACAACACTGATCAAATGCCTCTGATTTTTGCAACTTGATTGGTTTCATTATTTAACAGAACTCCTATTCTTGTTGCTTTTCTATTACACCTGTTACATCCAGCATCACGACACTGCTCACTTCCCAGTGAAATAATCCAATGGGATGCCTCAACAGGCAAGCTACGTGAGAATCAAGACAGAAGTGTTTTGGTTGTAACAATGGAAAAGGTGTGATGGTTTCCTATGTAAAAATACTTCCATGGAAACTGCAAAACAAGAGAAAAGGAATGGAGACTAAATTTTAAAGAAAGCATGAATACTGCACCTGCTAGTTAACTTTGACTCACATTAAGAGTCACAGCAACAAAACCAGTTCTGCTCAGAGAAAAACACTTAGGGGTAATGAGTTTTATGGAAATCAGCACTGAATTCTCTCTCTGAAGAACAGAGAGAAAATTTAAATGAAAAATCATTTAATCTCTTTTCCTAAAGAAAGGATCCAGGCAAATACTTTATACCACACACAATATCCATTCCATACACATAAAAGCTAACTGTATTATATTACCCTGGTATTATAAGGCTTGAGTACTTCTTTGGCTTCATCACAAAGGGGGCATGGATCCTGAAGGAAGAAAAAAATGAAATCGTTAAACTCAAAGAATGGTATGTAACCTAACAAAACCCACACAAAGCAGACTGCAGTTATTTGAAAGGACAGCTGTCCATTGGGTCAATTATACTGCTTCACTTCTGAAGCACAGTACTGCCTTAGAATCTTGTCAATAGCTTATTTTTCAAGGTAGATGGACCCTCAGTTTTTTTGTTTGATTCTTTTCTCTCCCTACATTTTATTTAAAATGCATTTTATACTTATGAATATATAATACATGTTACTAGCTTCATCTAATTGTAATATAATATATGTTACTTGGTTCATCTAATCTGGGAGGATCAGTTTCACTAATAATTCTGGGGCCTTGTACTTTTCGGGCCTGATACTGTAGGACTGGCTGACAGCTCCAGAATGGCTTAACGTCTATTCTAATGGAGGTGGGATCACTGAGCTTTGCTGCCTGTTTTCTCTAATAATGATAGGGAATAAAACCCACTAGAACGCCATAAGATAAGGATTGCCCCATCTATGTTGTTTAGGGCTGTCGAGTCAGTTTTGACTGATTGCAACCTTGTACAGGGTTTCTGGGGAGCAGCTGGTGGGTCTGAACTGACAACCTTGTGGTCAGCAGTCGAGTGCTGATCTTACAGCATCCATCACACCATCTATAAAATGGGGAAATCTCTACTCACATTTGGATTATGATGATAACAACTCATTATTGTTTGGTGTGTTCTCACTGTCATGTATAGGACTTGCAGATGAATTCTTCACCTGAGGGGCAAGCAAGTTGCAGTGTCTACTGTTGTACTCCTAACCACCTTGGAAGAAATCTATCATGAATACTGTGCATTACTGGCAGATTTGTATGAAAAGTGTCTCAGCCTTTGACTCTATGAGTAAAGACTAGCTATAGGTTCTCTTGTTGCACTCCTTTCTTAATTTGAAACCATTCAGTGTTCCCATGTTCT